CAATTTATTTAATACAAACTACAAACTGTACATAGGTTAAAACAAAAAAGCTAATGATAAAAAATTCCTTTTATTAAGCAATCATTGCAAGAAGAAAGCACACCGAAATTGAAAAGCACATTTTCTTTCTGCATTTTAGGACTTTTATATTCTTTCAAGGTTAAAAAGGTCAAAACCACTATAAGCAAGCAATAAAAATTTAGAAGAGGTTGAAGGTTACACACTGGTTAGTGGTGAAGGTTCTTCCACTAATATCACTGGTTAGCAGTACTGTTATAACCGCAATGTGGAATGCATGGTGCTGCATTTAAAGGAAGTGGGTAAGGGTGGGGCAAATGCAGTAGGTCCCACGATCAAAGCACTAGAGCATTGAATTTTACTTATAACCCAATCACTGACACCCACACAGCAACTTCCTGTACTTTAAAAAAAAGAAAAAAAGAAAAAAGAAAAAAAAATCTGTTTCTCTCTTTTTGCAATCAACAACTTTTACCTAGAAACTAGTTAGCGGTGAACTCTGACTGATTTCAATCTGCAGCTCATGGCAGAAAACATAATTGTTAATCTGTGAGAACCTACAAAGATCATTTTAACTGAAAAGTTTCAGTGCATCAGCTCTTTTCTTAATTTTTTAATTACACAAACGCGCCACAAAACCCAGGAACTAGTATAAAAAAATACAAAGTGACCAGAAGTTCAGCAGTGCTAAATACTGCAAGAACACTTTATGAAAGAAAACAAAGTGTATTCATAAATCTACAAAAACTGAGCTATATTTTAGAACAATTTTAGAAAATAATACATATTAAAATTTAGATCCTTCTCACAGAGTACGTTTGCCTTAGTATGTCGAAATAAGCTACTATTATTTTTTTTAATATAAGCAGTAATTAATATAGCCTTGTTTTCCATTTTACAAGCCACAGAGAAGATAAATATGTAGCCCCACTATGCAAAGCACAGGGCTGCTTATATCTGGGTAACTTTTTTGTGCTTTTGAGCATTATTAAAAATACACTATTGATAAATATAGGAAACCTTTCACTTCCCTCAGAAGAAACCTTCAAGTTCTTCAGTACCACCTGCTCAACATCAAATTACTTCAGCAAAGTCCCAGGGGAACTGTACTAAACCTTGGACGTGAGGAACTTCATAGACTATGAATATATTCCTGAAGAGAGAAAAAAAACATTCAGAGTAGCTAAAGAGCTTTTTCTTAGTTGTTCTTCCTCAGCCTAAAAAGAATCCTAAACTAGGTAAGGGAAAGATGCTGATTTTTGAAATCTTTACGTGTAACACGTGTATGTTGAAGCTCTGATGATGCCTGTAGCTGTACTTGCTCCTTCTACAACTCCTCGTCCTTCCCTATTTTTATTCACCGTTTTGTTAATCTTCCTTCATTTTTCCTTAAAGATTCTGCACTTAATCTTTAAGTGGTGTTGAAAAAGCACAGTAGCACATTTAATCAGAAAAACACACACAGGAGATGTGTCTTGGACCAAGCAAGGACTAGTTTAAAACTGAGGAACACAAGACAGATCTTGAAGGCTTTGGTTCAAAAAGTAGAGAGAGAAAAAGGAGGAAAGTGATTTATAAAGAAAAGAACAAATAAAAGCCTGAGATTCAGCCTAAGATACAACTTCAAGAAAATAATCTCATGGTTGTCATCCCCACTCACAACCTTAGTTGTAGAGAAGAGAAAGATATGGATCTCAAGGGTTTCTAATCCATGCCACATGATGAGTGTTTGCCTATCCTTGCCAGATAGCAATAACCACAGACAGCTGTAAACAGAAGTACTTGCCATTACAGTCGTCAGATCGTAGCTGCTATCAACATCCAAGCTTTCAAAAAAGCAAACACCAAGTTTAAACCAAACAAACCAAAAAATCTTTTGCTTTACAGGCAGCCAGGAGCAAGCAGGTCAGGAATTACAAAGTTTCACTAAGCCCTGTTTCAAGATTGCCTCTGGAGCCTTTATACGAGAGCAGCTAACCTGATGTACACATCCCCTTCACAGTTTTTGCAGGTACATCTGAAGGTCCCTTGATCCAACTTTGACCAAAAGGCAACCAAAGACTATGTCTAAAGTGCCTCAGGAAGAAGCAAGACTGAATGCACAACTCCTCGTTTATCTGGACTGAACATAGACACGTGGGCAAGAAGGGAACTGTGGCACACTTTGGCTCTGTCCTGATCATCCAGGACACCCTGCAATGCCCTGATGGAGCAGACAATGCTCGCATGTCACACAACTCCCAATGAATTTTGAAAAGCACTGAACCAGGAGCAGTCCCCTGGTAGATTTTGCCAGTGTCCCCTATCAACAGCTACTTTGGGAGAACAGACAGATTTTAATTAATCTCTATGAAAATATTAACTAACGCTTTCTACTTGATTGTAGACTGCCGATGACAACTAAAGCTTTTTTACTAGATCTCTACTGTAACTGAATAACAAAATTAAAGAAAGCCACAGAAGGACTTTTCAATATTAAAATTCTCCATTTCCCCCAACAACAAAAAACCCCAAACAGTTCTACTAAAAGGAATATGAACTGGGAATAGAAAGGCAAACTATGGATTTGTCTGGTAATAGCTGGCATTTATTAATCTTTCAGCAAGATCTTTATCTCATACTTGTTTTTTAATTGAACAGACCAATGAGAAAGGTAAGAAACAACGGAAGTTTCTTTACTGTTGTTTGTTTTCTCAGCAGCGTTCCCATTTCTAACACACACTTGTATCTCTTGCTAGCATCGCAGTGTATTACTATGTAATTTCTCATGCTTTAAGTAACCACTGAAGATTGCTTTAGTGTGGAAGGAAGGGAGGAGTGTAACTGCTTAAGCACATGAGGCTCATTTGCTTTTAAAAAAAATCTGCTTTGTTTCCTCCTTAGTCTATTTTATCATAACAACATTTGCTTTTGGTAGAGCAGCGGAGCCTTAAGAATACTGTGTCTCCCAATAACAGGGAGAAGTACCCATTTAAACAAATTTGTGAAAAGGCTAATAAAAGGCTGAGTGCACACATCTAACTTAAAAACAAACTACTAAAACTAAATGCTTCTCCAAAATTCTTCAGTATGTCCAAAAGAGGGAATGAAAGGAGACATAAATCCAAGAAAATCCCCTGTAGGTCAGTCTATCCCATGGCATGCATTCCCCATTTCTGCTGTTAGTATTGCACTGTATTTCTAGAAATAATCATGTTTCGAGCAAGAAATAGAAACCACATGAAAGAAATATAGGTAAATTTAGTATTAGTTTGACTCACTCAACTTTATAGAGCCTCTTTAAACACTGAATTATTTTATGCAGACCTTGCCTAAAAAGACGGTCACGTAGATACTTCCCTTAAAAAACAAGTAAAGAAAGAAAAACAACAGCCTTCTCAACGGCAAATAAGATTACCTTCCACTGTTGTATTTCTGCTTCTATTCACTTGTGTCTTATTGCTTGATATTTATTTGTCAAAGTTACATAATATGTCTACTTTAAATTAATAAAAGACTGTCTAGTATCTCAGTAATGGAAAATATTTTCACAAAACATGCATGGAACTGACCGCTTTGAGAACTTTCCTACAATCCTAGATCATCTTCTGGTCAGTTTTCACCAATACTCACCTACACAGAACCTCAATCAATCAGTTTCAAGGTATGAAACTTTTAACGAGATCCTCAGGAAATGCCTGCAATAGAAAGCACTTTTCATGTTGCCCAAGGAGCTCTAGCATAACTGGTTTGCAAAACAAGCCAGATTAACAATACCTGTTATAAACAGGATGGGTGCAGGGTGCATGTTTTGCTCCAAAACGCAACAGCAGAAAGACAGACGATCCTCATTTGTAAACAGAGAGGCTTTAATAATGGATCTGTTCCTCTGTATTATGCTTGCTAACATTGTCAGTGGATACCAGAAAATTCTAGATGTTGACCCACACATCTCCTGGGCAAAATTATGTGCCTATTTGTAGAACTCATCTCTCTCTCTCTCTCTCTCTCTTTTTCTCTTTCTTTTTTTTTTTTTTTTTGAGAGCTAGAAAAACGTTCACTGCTAACGTTAACTGAACTATACCACAGTTGTTAAAAGTAGACTTGAAACCAACAGCTCTGAAGTGGCTTCAGTTCTTGAAACAGTTTCACTGGTATCTGAATGTCCTGAGAATCAACTCTTGGGAGGGCAAAAAACCTGAAGTTGAATCCCTATTAAAAGAAATCTTATTTTCAATTCAGGAGATTGATACATCTTTAAGAACCTCCAAAGAAAATGGATCTGAAGCTGAAACAAACTATACGCTCAGAAAATGTTTTAGATTCAGTTAACACAGCAATGTATCAATGCAAGAACCATCACACCATGACAGATTAGGACAGGTCTATCTAGCCCTGTATCCTGTTCTTGTTAGTCTCTAGTAGCAGATGGTTAAAGAACATCATCAAAACAAGGCAAGGGTATAGCAATACTTCAGATTACCTTCCAGACCTTCAGCAACATACGGTCCGGGGAATTCCTGAACCAGAGAGAGTACTCTGGCTTTTGGTAACCTCTGATGGATTTTTCTAAGATCCCCTAGGGTTTTTTTTTTTTTTAAAGCCCATTTAAATTTTTGGCATTCACCATATTCTCTGGCAAAAAATCCTAAGTTTAACAAACTGTATAAAAAAAGTACCTTTTTTGTTTACTTTCAAGCTGCCATTTACTAATTTCACTTGATGCCTACTTGGAAAAGATGGAACAATTGATCCCCATTTCTCCCTGCCGCAAGGGAGGGATTTTACAGATCTGTCATATCCCTCCTTCATCGTATTTTAACCAGGCTGATGAGTTCCAGTCTGTTTTATTGGCAATTTATGTCATTTACAGATAATCTCAGACTTCCCTCCACTGTTGAAATATAAAATAATGAGATAGAAGACTGACAGCTTGTCCTCACTTCCAAGAATATATAGTAAACTGGGGGGAACTGGCTATTAAAAAAAGAAAACCTCCTTACCACTGGGTGGCTTGGGCCGTGGAGGGACATTTTTCTTCGGTGGTAATGCTGGTGTGTCTGATTTGCTTTTGAAAGGATCATCTGAGAATCCCATTCCTCCAAAAGAGGAGGTAAAGGGATCTGATGCTCCTGACTACAAGAGAAAAAAGAAAAGAAATAAGCACATTGCAGAGTATCTGTGGTTTCATGAAAGCTAAAAGGCAACTCAAGCAAAAGCATTAACTCCAAAAAATGAGGACAAAGATTCAGAATTATGTCAGTGATGTGACAGGCTAACACCCACTGTCAGAGGTGCCAGAATTTCATTAACATTCAGAAGTATTTATGCTCTTAAATTGCATAAGTACTTCTAGAGCTTCTACTCTTAGACAAAAGCTGATGAGAAAAATAAAGGGAAGTAAAACTATTTTTTATTATTTGGCAATGAACAGTCATACTACAATATGGCCTTCATTCTTTGATAAACAGAACTGTGAAACAAAAGTAGCAATCAGAAAAACACGGTAGACTGCAGAATGGACAGCTTCCCTCCCTTGCCCCCAAAATTTTCCCAAGTCACACACGCCTATTTGTCTTCTTTTTCTAAAAGCTGAGGGAAAACTCCAAACATATATTTTAACATGTTTCCTATATTCAGCTGGCTCTTGTGAAGGACTCTCCTAATGACTGAAAAAGGCACTAAAATTATGCCATGCAGGGTAATTTATCATCCTAAATAAAAGGTGTTTTGTACACAAAGTTCAAGCTCAAAGTCAGACTTTTGCTAAAACTTCTAACTTGAGCAAAACACACCAATATTTGTAAAGACTGTTGCCACCTAGTGGAGAGGGGGAAAAAAAACCTAACGTAAGAAAAATTAGAAAATATTACAGGAAGACTGATTAGCCAAAGTGATATTATAATCTATCTTCTAGTTAACGTTTTCCATAAAATATTCAAGTGCTACCTCCAACAGTAGGGCTAAGTGTAAAAGGTTGGGCAGCTGACCTTTACTGTAAATTCCAAAGCCTATCTTAGAAAACTAATGACAGACTGTGAATATCCAGATGAGTGGATACGGTATTTCAAGTACAATTAAGCCCTTAAATACGTGGTTTGTATCAAGAAACTAAGAAAACAGCAATTCTGTTAAGAGCTGTAAAATGTCAAGAGACAAATTTTTCCACCCTTCTCTGGTTGCCTGTACTCAGGGAGAAGTGTGAGAACAAGTCAGGATACCATGAGAGGTGTACTACCAAGAAGTACAGTTCAGGACTCAGAGGAAGGTTCGACACTGAAATATATCTCGTACAACTACTTTTGCTTACAACAAACAAAAGCTAGCAGTTATTTGCTTTTCTCCTCTGAGAAAAGTGTATGAAAAGTTGATTCCCCACTCCTGAATCTACTGGTTTTGGTAAGAGTTATTAAAACTTATTAAAAATCTGCCGAACCTGAGATGGACAGAAAGTGCTTTGCTAAGTAACTGCTCAGACTGTGACTGCAATAAAAAAATTTGACACGGGTTGCCACCTGAAAAATCACCATCATAGTAAATCCTTTTAAAAAAATAAAAATCCATATTAATGTTTTTGAGTACAGTTATTTCTTTGTAACCTTTACCTTTGACATCTGACTGAAGTCTGCAAATCCCTCACTGCTACTGAAAGCATCACTTCCAAATGGATCTAATGTTCCAAATGGATCTGAAACAGGTATAGAAAATAATATTAATTTAAAATAATTCTTAAGAATTATTGGCAATAGGTGGTTCTTCATAAAGTGTAACAACAGGTAGATGATTAAAAACTATTTGCATTTTGTCCTTGCAGGCAAATTTAAAAGAGAATTCCACAAAACATTAGTTTTTCTTCTACTTGCTTGAAAAATAGTTATAATAAAAAGTGAAGCATATGGTATATGAGGTTTACTTTTCATAATCTGTAATAAGATCACAACGAGGATATTTGCTACCAGTTTACAATATGTTTCTTTATTCTGAACTTTGACAACTGATTCTTCTTTCATAGAGAGGATACGCACTTATTCATCTCCACCCTAAAAATTATTCTTCTTACCTGGGCCCTTTGAAGAGATACTGGAAGATGTAAAAGGATCACTGCTTTCAAAAGGGTCAGGCTAAATAAGAACAACAGATATCTACAGTTATTGTTCTGCTGCATTGTGCACTTGTCTTTTTATGTATATCAAAATCCCCTGCTTTAAGACAAAATATTTCCAGTTTCAGATCACTCTACTCAGTGGACACATAATAGGAGAAAATCAACTGAACATATGAAACGTATATCACTAGTGCATTTGGTTATTGATAGCAAAGAACAAATACAACTAAGTATCTACAAATAAAACAGATTTAAGTGGAAAGCGTATCACAGTGAAATACAACTAATACTAGTTACCAAGGCAAAATAAGAAATCATACCCCCACGTCTTCAGTTTTTAATCAACAGAGACGGAACATTCAAGTTAGGTAGGCATTTACATCATTATTAACTCCGAGATACTGTATACCCATAACTTCTCTTTAAATAGATGGTGTTTATAGTTGCTCTCCAGCTTGGAAAGTCTACCCGTATCGAAGGGCAAACCTATACTTGCAAGACTTAAACCGACCTCCCACTGACTGATACCAGAATACTGACTGATACCAGAATACTGACTGATACCAGAATACTGACTGATACCAGAATACCTAGGTGGCAACAGTCAGTGAATTCCCTAAGAATGAGGAAAGGATTCATTACAAAGAAAAACAAACAAACAAAAACAAACTCAAAAAACAATCCTAACACACACATAAACGCAGCTTAAGAACTGGGACTATATATTTGACAAATGTGCTCAGCACAGTTCCTTCCACTGCGTTGGCTCAATTTTCTGTTGGTGGCTTAGTAATCCTTTAGCCACATCAATTCCTCGATCTGATTCACTATGAGACTGCACAAATAGAAACATCAATGGAATGGAGGTAATGGCATGAATGAGTGGATGATGATGGGCTGAAATTGCCAGTGGAGAGGGAAAAAAAAAAAATCCACCTAACTGCATCTTTCATGGCGAACATACATCTTAGAATGGAACTGGCAAGTACTGCTGTTTCCCTTAGTAATCCATACATAAAATTTTTAAGAACAAAAATAATTGCATTTCATCAGTTAAGAAAAAGATACTTAGTGATATTTCTTTCATTTTAGCTTTCAAACAATGAAACTGCAAATAGTAGAAATTCTATTATGTGCGTATTTAAAAATTACTGACCTTCGAGGGTAAAGCAGGGGGTTTTGTGAATGGATCTGAGGTAAATGGGTCACTCTTCACCTGTTTCTTGAAGAAATCCTCAGGGGCAGAAGTACGAAATGGGTCACTTTCCTTAAATGGATCACCTCCAAATGGATCTAGGAGTATTAAAAGGTAAACAATATATAACACTTTATAAGTAAAGCAACAGAAAGCATGCAGAAGGAACCATCCTACATTTGACTTCATTATCACGGAAGTACTTGTTCTTAAAATAAATAATAATATTGATAAACTTCCAGATACCTCTTTAAACAGGGTATTAACTAACTTGCAACAATTACGTGCTTGTATTAAGTAAATGAGAAAGTTATGGACTTCACCTAATGAAGTTACAGGCATATAATTGAACATGCTGATCCTGAATGCATACACCGTCAGATTACTAAATTCCCTAATGGAAACCAAAAATCTGAAGTGAAGGAAACCTTGAAATACTTCTTCGCGTTTGGCTACAAATTGTGCATCTCTTTTATCCCGTCATCAGAAGGGCTATTACCTGCTGGAGCAGGTGGTTGTTCTGCAAAAGGATCATGCTGGAATGGGTCACCTATGCAGAATAGAAAAATAATTTGTTTTATCCACTCTTCAGGAAGATGATAAAAGTTTGTGAAAATATCATTTACTGAACAACTGGTCTTCAAGGTCTTAGGTAAGTCACTGGTCACTTACTGCCTTTGAAAGGGTCTGCTCCTTTAAATGGATCAGATTTGAAAGGATCTTCTGATTGGAATGGGTCTGTATGCAATTCTTGTGTATTATTGGTAAACATCAAGGCTTTGTTCTTAAATGGATCATCCTAAAAATAAAGAGGAGAAACATTACAGCAACTTAGCATGATTAAAATGCTCAGCTCTCCATTCAGCAGACGTTCTACAGTATCTTGTTCCTGTTTAACGATCTTAAAAATGTTGTCCTAAAAAACTTTCTGAATAAGCAGCTTCTAAGCAGAAGTAAATACATAGCAGAAACACGTAACCCGAGGCTACAGAACATCAAGAAGTACGCAGAGACCACAATGAAAGGTTAAACTGTTCCTGATACTAACAGGAACATATATTTGGTTCTCCAGTATTTGGGGAGAATGCATGGCGGGGTGGAGGAATAAAACCACTATCAAAAAATTCTCTCCCTGTTATTTTTACAGATTAGCTTCAGGTGAGAAAGATCTTTGAAAGAAAAGGATCTACAAATCCATTTGCACACTGTAAAATACAAGAAATTACTCCTGAGAAGTCATAACTAAGATTGCTTCTTGTTAACTCATTCATGAGCTCACAGCTCTAAGCACTGATTTCACATTACAAAGCACTATGTGGCAATACCACTGTGTGGCAGGAAGAGTGGCACCCTCAGTCAATACAGTTTCCCAACACTTTGATGATACAGAGGCTGTCAGCACAGACCAACCTACAGCTTTGTCAAATTACAAAACAAGCCAGCGTGAATAAATAGCAAACTAAAGTTATGAAACTATCACGTTCATTTGGTGGCATCTCATATCCCTGTCTTTCATCTGTTGTGGGTCTCTTCCCTCACATCAGTTCTTGCCACCGTAGCCACTTGTGCCTACGGCACCTGTACAACAGAGCTTCATTTAAAACTAAAGCCTTTCAACTCTAATATAAGAAATGTTTAATATCAACCACCCCACTGATATTGCCTCCAGCTCGAGAAAGATAAAAGGATTTCTCTCCTCCCTTTACAGGACATAAAAGAAGAAGTCTTCATTAACACTTCTCAAAACAGCAAAAAAGGGAAGAGGAAGGAAGAATTAAGAAACAGGAAAGGGACACAAAGCTTTAAAAAGTTTACTATGAACATATACTGGAGTTTTCTTCCAGTAAGTGATACTTAGGTTTTACATGCAAGAGAAACATTCTGGAAATTTCTACTGGAAATTAAACGTGCAAGAACAAAAACTAAGTGCTCAAGTGAGTTTTAAGACCACATCTCTCCATGACAGCATTACTATTCTTAGTCTACACTTTTCTTTCTTGTGTGCATTTTGTTTCTACAGAGAAAGCATAAAGCAAGGCACAAAGGCAGCATGCCTTCTGAACACTATGTAAGTTGTATTTTTATTCCATACTAAACCTAAAGTAAATGTACTTACAAGGACTCTGGAAAACACCTTTCCTAAGGAGGGGACATCAAGTAGTTGTGCAAGTAGAATCAAGTAAGTATGCAACTTTTATCTTTACATTGAAGAAATAGGTATAACAGTGTAAAAAACTGCAGTTTAAGTAAGTTACTAAATATCCAAATCAACAACAGATACCGGAAAGAAACTGATGGGAAAAATCTTTAAGAATCTGAAGCATCTTATAAATCAGGAAAAATAACTGATTTAAAGAAAATATAATAAATGAGATAAATGATGCTGCAACTATCTTAGGAAAAGACAAGTATCTATGCATTATTCTGGGGAGGGAACATTTTTTCTACTGTAACGTGGAATACGCGTAGCTCACTGCAAAGGAGAAATTGTTATAGCTTGTTTTGGAAATGAGCAGGACGCACATGATTAAAGGGAAGTTTACAGCAAGGGAAGTTGTTACCTTGGTAAACTGGAGAACTTGCAAAAAAAACCATTACACTAGAATTTAAAATAAGGTCATACTTACTTTCTCAGGCTAAAGATTTGACAGGCTGCAAATCAAGGGTTAACATCACCTCTTTTTGTTTTGCCTACATAATTACAGTTTGCTTACATGTGCGTACTGCTAAAGTTACCCAGGCAAGTCCTTTGTAGCACAAAACCTACCTGAAAGCCTAAAAATCAGTTTTTCACCAGCACTAACATCTTAGCCTGGCCTAGCACCAGAGGCTGTTCTACTGCAGGGATTGTGGCACTTGTTTAGTTGGCTCACAAGAGCCAACTAAACAAACGTCTTAATTATTCCCAAATAGGTTTAAGTTGACAAACCTAATTATTGCAAAATACACTGAATAACAGTATAACATTTTTACCATAGCTCCATAATTGCTTCTTTCCGTCTGTGCAAGGCCTTCACTTATGTCTGCTAAATTCGTCAAGCTACCACCGTGAATCCCATTGAGAGCTTCATTATATTGTTCTATACTCTTATTGACCTCTTGATGACTCTCCTGAAGTTGAGAAAGTTTACTTCTTGCCTAAGCAGAGAAAAATGCTTTGGTATATTACTCTTTCAATAACACTGTCATTCTCATAAAACCGAAGTGCGCACCTATTACTGAATTGGTTCACAGATTCAACATGTAAAGAATTTTTTGATCCAAGGTTAAACATAGTTGCAAGACTACTGCATTTTTCCAGGGCTAGACTCTTCCTGATTCAAATTGACAATTAAGGGAGTGAGCCTCAAAAAGGCTTATTTTACATACTGATAGTTTTCTCTTCCGAAAAGTCACCTTTCTAGCTGATGTTGAACTCTCTGGCTTTTTAAAGGAACAAAAAAAGGATGTATAAACTACAATGAATACCTGATTTATTTCTTCCTGTGTTGATTTTAAAGATTTAATTATTGTTTCAAGCTGAACTTTTCCAGCCTGGATACTCTGCTCTAGCTGAGTCTCTTCTTGTTGAAGGCGATTCAGCTCTGCTTTTGCTCTATTAAGATCATCTTCCTGTGATTTTAAATCTGATTCCTGAGACTGAATCTGCATTTTCAGTGATGAAATCTGAAACAAAAAGTTACAACACAATGCCAAAAACAGTGAAATCTGAAATAAATGCAATTTTTAATATTATATGAATTTATCATAAATAATAGAAAGCTGTAAAGCAAGCTTTCAACAGCTAAGGAAGACAAAAAGAACTTAATTTGAGGAATTACATGCTTCTTATTATGCAACACAATCATTGGTAAAAGCAGGTAGGATGTTTTATAAAAACAAGAAATTATTAATATTCTAAATGACAGAAATACCACACTGATAATAAGGTAATTAAAAAGAGTTTCTTCTGTGGTTACTTTGCAACTGTCAGAATTTGGCTCCTTTTTCCACCCAAACATTTATCAACTATTATAAAGCTGATTTTAACTCTGATAAGAGTTAAATTTATATAGCTACATAAGATGCTACTTATCCACTCTGTCACGTGACCTTTTACACTGAATTTCTACTTGAAAATAAAAACACTAGTATGAAGGGACCTCTGAAGACAAAAGTTCAGCAGCCCTGCCCTGGTCAGTGACCAAAGGTATTTAGGTTAGCAAAATCCTTTCTGGGACCTCTGGAAACTGCTATTTACGGTAAAAATAAAGAAACAGAACAAGCTTATTTATGAAATGAATAGAAGAACTTTCTTCAGCAAAAGATACAATATTCTTGAGCATCTCCAGAATTAACGTACACTCACCACCTGTGTTTCTTCCTGGCATTTCTGCCTTACATCATTCAGCATATCTTTCAGTTTGGCTTTCTGCTGGTCCATTTCATCCAGGCGGTCTTGGGCATCTTGTTTCTGAGCCTCTAGCTCTTGCAAGTTACTTGTCTCCCTATCTAAATCATTTTGCAGTTCCTGAGGAAAATTCCACAGTTTGAGAGTTACAGTTAGCTGTTACCCTTGTAAGCGTGATCAACCACAGAGAAATAGGTTGGCAAACTCAAAAAGATTTCCTACGTCAGAGTATTCCATTGCATGCAAACGCTTTTTTTCCAGCAGGAACTTGTATCAGACATCGTAAAACAAGTGTCCACAAGATAGAAGGAGACCGTGACATAAAGCACATGTAATTCAGCTATCCGAAGGTAATGATTAAAAACAATACCCTTTGAATAAAGATTTCCTAAATTACACAGTTTCAGTCAAGCACCAATATAAAAAAAAAAAAAATTACAGACTGTTCATATTATCTACTACTCATATTTGCCAGCATCAGAAAAAAGCATCTCTGAGGGAGAACAGGAAAATAAAGATCTTCCCATAAATTAGGGCAAAATCCAGTACAAGGAAAGAAAGACTTGCCCAGAAGCAATATAAGGAAAGAAGCATTTAGAAGAAAGGGTACTTAATCCCCCCAATAGCATTTTAAATTCAAATACAAACTAATAATGATAAGCAGATCCTTTACCTGAACTTCATTGGTCTTCTGTCTTATTGATTCTTCCTTTTCTCTAATGTCCTGCTCTAGGGAATATTTTTCTCTGTAAGGAAACAAATGTACATTTTGGTTAAATGGTTAAGTAATACACATAAAAAAATCAATTATTCTGGAAACACAACACAGCCAAAAATGGCAGCCCACATTCTGAGATATTCTTTCAAGGAGTAAAAGCATGCATCGTTTATCCTTTGAAAAATACTATCTGTCCATAAGCAATCTTCTGAAATCACTTGTTGGGCTCCAGAGTAGCTTTATCAAATTGGCTACTAATCGTAGGGCACCAGTGGGAGATTTGCCACCAACTTCAACCAGTTAAAGCCTATGAATCAAACTGATTAAAAGACAATATAGTCCCAATAAGTTATAATGAAACAAAAGTAACAGGCACGTCAATACTACATACTGAGATAGTTCTTCTGCTTTTAAGATTCTCTGATAATAGTTCACAACATTTACCTCTGCAGCTGTGCAATTTCTTGACTAATATCATCCAGCTCCTTCACCCCTGTAAATTCTCCTGATCCAACAGAACTTGAACTATCCTGTTAAAGAATGAAATAGTCTATTAAAATGCCAAGCAGTAACAGATGATCTTCCTCTGAGAAGGCTGAAGACAAAGGTGGGACATGACCCTCATTTTATGCATTTGAAACATTCTGTGGGAGACCTCAAAGTATTACGCAACAACCAGTGCACATGCCGCGCAATTCTCCCTGTGTGACCTGAGAATTTTTCCTATTCCCATTTAATGGGTGAAATAACTGACGTACACAGGAGATAAAGGACATGCACAAAGTCAAAGAGTAAACCTCAGGCAACGATAGAATTAAAATTCAAAACCGAAAATCCCAGCTCTGTTAAAGTCAATAGCAGGGAACTCAAATCAAAATGTCATTTCAGTCAACCTGAGCCCTGCCCCAAATTAAAAATGCTAATTTCTGCAATTATGCCCATTTCCTGCAGAGCTGCAGCTTAGTCATTTTTACAGCCATTTAGACGTGGAACAGGGAAGATACAAAGACTATTCTTTGCCTTTTGGGCAAGAAATTTGTCGTTAAAATCATTAAGAAAGAATACCACTATTTGGTACAAAATTTTTCCTTATAGTAAGCATTTCAAATCCTTTAAAAAAAAAAAAACACTGTAACTGAGCAAACTGCAACACAGAACTCATTGCTAGTATGACAAACCAGGAGATCTACAATTTTAAATAGCACTTTACAAAGAAGACAGTACAGTTAGCTTAGTTTGTTCACTTTGAGATGGTTGTGATAACCACAGGAAGTTTGGCTTTATCCAATATAAAAAAAGCCACCCCAATGAAATAAGTTAAAATAAGCTACTACATTAGTCAGGATAACACAGCTCACTGTTCCACATGAACAGAAAACTGTTTTACTATTTTCACAGTAATATACCACTTATTGCATGTTATATTCAGCTAAAACCACAGTAAATGAAAAACACAAAGCAACGTACCAAAAATTATGGGAAGTTTAAAGCTCTTGCACCAAGGTATGTTTATTGCCCCCAACTTTACTGAATTAGCGCATCAGTAATTTTAATATGTCAGCCTCAAATTGCCTAAGAATTGCTTGACAAATCAACACATCTCAAACTGGTGAGGGAACTGATTGATACCACTGGGTCAATAGCCAGAATGGGTAACATCACATTACTGTGACATTATCATTATGCCAAGAGCAAGTGTCACAGAACACAAAGTGCAAAGCTACAGAACATGATGAAGAATATATATATATATATATA